CTTTGGCAGAAAGAATATTTTTCATTAAGGGAAGCTAACAGCTATAAAAAGTGCCCAAATATGGACACAGGTCGAATATTCATTTTTTAATTATTTTTTTAAGCTACAACAAAGTTCTTGGCATTGCCTGTGTGCTGTGCGTGTGTGTGTCAGCAGATTTGCCAAAACTTTATTCTCTGTGCTCACCACTGGTTGTGCTTTGGGTCCAGAAAAGTAGGTCAGTGTTGGTTTTCCACACAGGCAGAGAGATAGAGACGGAGAGCAAGATTCCCCTACTCAGCTGAGTAAAGTTAGGTCTGATACTGGCGTTAAAGATCTAACACACCACTCTTTTAGGCTGATCACGCATAACATTAATTCTCAGGGCAAATATAGAATTTCTGGGCTTGTAAAATAATTGCAGTTAACACATTTTTGAGGGTCATGCTGATATCAATAACCAATATTTTAACTAGCAGCTCAAGTATGAATGTCAAGTATGAGCCGATCTAGGCATGTTTTAATGGATCAGGTATCGGATATGTTAAACCCCATCTAATTAAAGTCCTTTGTTTCTTGATTTCTGTAGACCAAAAAACAAGATTGGGCCATTCCTGAAGTTTATGCTGTAATCCATCTATGAAGTGTAGTATGTTTATACTACTTATTATATATATGTATTCATACTATGTGCTGTATACTAAATGCTGTTTGTTAGTTACTTTGTGTTAGTTAAAATGAGTGCAGTCTACCTTAACAGTTAAATCATTAAAATCTAGCTTTGCTAGTTACCTTGAATTGAGTAACGCTGCAGTAGAGAAGAGAGGGTTTTGTTCCATGTCAGAAACACGCTTCTGTACAGCTGTAAAAAAACGTGTGTTTTATAATTTTATCATGCTTCTCATCTGTCCCTTTCAGCAAAACAGTGACAGCAGGAATCACATCTGAGCTTAATGCATCCGAGGAGCTCAGTTGTGGAGTTTTGCATCTTGTTTTGATTGGATGGTTGAGCTGTAGTTGAATGTCTTCTAAAGCCAGACATACACTGTGCGCTACAGGTTTGAATAGACCATCGTGCACGGACAAAACCTATGATTTAATAGCTCACAATGTATGAAAACACTAGATCTGATTGACATGCTATATGAAAAGCAGCTGCTACTGACAGCTCTGTCTACAGACAATTTTAACTAAAGCTGTTTTGCTTAAAATAACATGCTGCACATCAAGTACTGAGCAAACACACTGAGAAACTAAGCTATAGCAGTGCTGCTGACTACTAAAACCAGAAGGTGATGTACAAAGACAGTTTAAAAAAGTAAATGTGTTAACATTTATACTTCACTATTCTATACTTTGGAAGCACATTTCAACTTTTTTTGCCTTTGTTTTGTTAGCCAACGTGTCTCCACCCACATTGCGAAAGTGGGTGTGATTGTGTTTGCATGTGCTTAAAATGGACTAAAATCGCACAGTGGATTACCAGTGGGACTTTGACAAGGTGGAATGTTTAAAATGACCATTGACTTTGTGTCCGAGCTCCACGGTGTTAGTAACCCTTCTCTTTGTGAGCAGACCCTCCTTCACTGCCAGCTTGAGTCATTTGTTCATTAGCACGGAGGTGTACACTCAGTATCAGCTGGTATCGGACTTTGGTATCAGTGCCTTTTTTATAAAGTTGGGTACGAGAAAATGAGCACGGTACCGGGCTGAGACCAGTTTCGATGCATCCCTTACTCAATATGAAATACTTGTTTTCAAATTATATTTAAATACTTACAATTGGGTGGACTTCATCATCCATCACTGACTATGATTGACTGCCATAGGCAATAATTGTTGATGTTCACTAAATTCTAAAGCTCCAGCGGAGAGATTAGAACAAGTTCCAGATGAGCTCCAGCCTGCTGACTCTGTTCTCTCAAGTGAGTAGATGGAAGCAATTAGTGGTGATGAGAGAAAAAACAGGCTCCTGAGGTTGTTGATCTAGCTATAAAGAAATAAGTAGAATTTTCTATTAACTCTATTACCTAATGTATCATAGGGGGCACATTCAAAGGTGTTGGCACTGTTCCTTTTATCTCACTCAAATCTGCTGCTGGAGTCCATGCATGTCTACACTGAGCATAGTAAAGGGTATCAGCATTCAGAATTGGATCTCTTCTTTCTAACATGGTTTCTGCCACTTCATAAAGAAGCGTAGTGCTTTTATTGTTGGATGCGCTATGTTTGAGTGTGAGCACATAAAATGAAAATGCTTGTTAATATATTTATTATTATTGTCATTTGATTTTCATCAGAGTAACAATAAAAGGTGACTGAAGTGTTAAAGTACATTCTTATGCATTTGTTTGCTTCCTCAAAATAACTGTTCAAAACACAGGAAAATCACATTACCAAAGGAAAAGAGTATGTGAAATAAAATTTAGAATCATCTGCTCTTTTGCCTCGGCATTAGAGTTAATAAGTGTTATATTTAAAAATAAATATTAGAATATTGAGTAAAACCTTACAGTAGTATGTGTATGGGGTACATATTAATAGGATGTTTTCCACAGTAGCCTGCGTAACATTGAAGGTGGTTTCATTTATGATATTGTGGCAAGAAAAAGCTTTTTAACAAGCAGCAAGACAGTCTGTTGAGAAGAAAGTCCTTAAAGGAGTAAGAATGTCCACTAGGCTCCTTTCTCTGACACTCTCTGTGGTAAGGTATGGCTCTCTTGCAGTGGATAGAGCTAAATAATTAAATTGACTGCTTAATGTAGGTGAGATGTTGGATGTCATATCTAGTGGAATTTCTTTTTATTTTGTAACTGTATGAATTTGGACCTTTTTATCACCACAAAGTGCGTAAAACACAATCAAATTTGTATTGAATTGAAATTGCATTATTCTGTATTGTGCTATGCTGTGTGGTCACCTTAATGTCTCTTGTGTAGATATAATTTGTGAATATGTTCATCTTGTTGCCCCTTGTGTCACTGCGGTCAGTGTGGGTCCGACACTATCGGCATGTAGCCGCTGACAGGTTTATTTAAAAAATGGCACAGCAGACAGCAGGAGAGCTGGCCACATGCCATTAAGATGTGACTGCTGCTGCTGAAGATCCAGTTCTGTCTTGCTCTCTGTATTGCTCACACTGTTTTTCTCTCCATATCAGACATACTAAATTTGATTATACTGTAGAAACAAAACAGTCTCAACCTGGAATCGAATAGAGCTGACTCTGGTCCCGTCCTGCATGAACAGCAGGAAAACATTTGAGTGAAGCGCCACATCCCAGTTTATATCTGTCAGCGTTGGATCGTGTCACTGCAGTTTTATGAAACGACAGACTGGTTTTTGAAGCGTTCTCTCCAGACAGGAGGGCTCATTCCCTGTGGTGCATTCTGTGGTACTGTAAATCTAATCTGTGCCATTGCCTATAAATTGAAGCTACTGTCTGGCTCTCATCTTTGCCACATAGTGCATCATCCAGCTGACTAGAGCAGAAAGATTTGTGCATGTTTTGTAGAGGTGCAGAGATTGTTATCCCTGCATTATTTACTACTTTATTGGAAAGTTATTTATTATCATATTATAATCAATTACAGCTGATTATTACAACTGATAATTTGGCTCCTTATTTTTGGCTTACATGTGCACTGATGCCCATTAGACGGACATACTATTCTTTTTACTTACTCAAATGGATAGCATGGTGGATAACACCACTGTTCTACTCGCAGAAGATTGGAGTTTTGATTGCTAGGCGTGTCACAATTATGACAAGTTTTTGAGCTGATCACAGGTATTTAAGAAGACTGCAGTTATTTTCCAAAGTTGTTGGCTGTTACACACACACACACACACACACACACACATACACATATATATATATATATATATATATATATACACATTGATATGGCATTTAATCAGTCTGTTAAAAATTCATTATTGTGACAGGCTTATCGATTACCTATTCAACCTGGAACGCCACAATAAGAGTCCTTTGGCAAGTCTTTTCACCTGCCATTTGTGAGTTGCAAAATATTTATGTACAATAGTCATACTTTGTCATCTTCAATAAGTGAGTTACACTTAGTACAGGCCCACAGAATTCGCAGTAATAGAGCAGAAATAAGAATTTCTTTATTTGCATAATAGATAATATGCTAAAAATGTCACGGTAAACAGTATTTACCTTTACTGCTATCCTAATTTAAATTATATGATTTCCCTTATTTACTCCTTCGGTATGCACAAAGAACTTGGAATGTGAATTTAATCATTCCGTATTTTAATATAAGCCAAATGGTAGTAACTTATCTGATTAAGCTAACATGAATAATGCCGACTGAAGGACTGTCTTATCAGTGCAAGTTTAACAGTATAGATCAATCTGGGCTCACAATTTGGGAAGCAACAGGTCACCATTGCCCTTTTTGTTTGTCTTATACCTGCTTAATAATGAGGTATTTAAGATGGTATTTAAGACCTAATTTATAACCATTAATAAACTATTTAGAAACCAGTTGTAAATCCTTGGTAGCAGTTGTCGTTGTTTTGTATCAGTACGTCAGTGTTTTAAGCTGATTGGATGTTTTTTGGAAGCAGAGAGGTGGTTCTTTGTAGAGATACACTGCGCCGGTGTTGTCTGTCTGGCGTTACAGCATTACAGCATAGTGTGGAGGGGCAGAAGGAAGAGTCTGCCATGTGGCTCGTTAGTGAAAGGCTAATAATGTTGTCATAATCGTTAGGAGTCACAACAGCAGCCATTTCGGGAGTTGCTGTGCCTGCTGTTCTTCCTGTAGTGCCCTTGCACGCACGTGTGTGTGTGAGTGTGTCCACTGTGTGCTGGTGAGGGAGGTTGGCATTAAACCTAGACATTACCTCACCCTACTGGGCAGACGGGCCATTACGATGCTCAGCAGGCTACAGGAGGGGAGGGGGGGGGGCAAAACTCAATACCTGGTGATTATCTATACACACACACACACACACACACACACACACTGCAGCACAAATCCGCAGACGTCACGTTCCTACCCTACAGATGGCAATCCCCACACACACACACACACACACACACACGTTCTCCTGGGATGAGTATGAAGATAATATGCCACAGCATGCTGGCTTTGGTGGTAGATGAGTCAGGTAATGGAGAGTGCTTAAGCTGGCCTCTCCCACATTAAAATTGCAGCTTATCAGTGGGATGGCCCTGTCTGCCCTTCCCCGCTGTAGCTGAAGCATTGCTCTCTCAGGCCATCTTATACTAACACCGACAAAAGGGCTTTATATGCCATTTGTTCACAGTTTGCATATGTACATCAACTTCTTCATTTTTTTGCATATACCTGACTAATCTCCAGAGAAAAGTCTGAACGCCAAGGCATCTGTGTTTCAGCCTCCATGGAGCAGGCGGGATTGCTAGGCTTTGCTCCAGGCTGCAGCAGCACTACTCTGAATAGGATGCTCTCTAAAACACTTCAGTTCTCTGAGCCCTCTTTCCATGTATTCAGCCATTTAGCTGACCAACATAGCTGTGAGCAATATTATCACAAGAAAGGAATACACAGGAATTTGGACATATCAGTCTTGATTTTAGATTGTTTTGAATATAAACGTCCTTTGCTGCAGTTTGCAGAGTGCGGTACGGCATAAAATAAGATTTGGGGTATTGTGAATTGGACTTTTGCTTTGTAAATGTTCTACGGGGAACAGGCGTGACTGCATGTTCAGAGCACAGTGAACTCTTGAAGCTCTAGCTGGAAACTCCAGTTTAGACATGTCAAATGATTTCCATACTAGCTAGTCAAATATGTCAAATAGTAAGTGGCTCAAATGAATATGGACACTTCACATGCTCCTACTCTAAATGATATGATTTCTTTAATTTACTCTTTTGGTATGCACAAATGAAGCACAGATATCTCTACAAATTTATAAAAGGCAGCACTGGAGGTTTTGCCTACGGATATTTAAATGTGTACCATGAATTCTACAGGGACTGTCAAAACCAGCCACAATAACATTAACATGCATAGTGTGTCCAACACTAGCGTCCCTTGGGATGTTGCTTCAGACACCCATTCAAACCCCGAGTCCTGACCCCTACCTCTCCCCCTCCCTCTTTGTCTACCCCCATGTCTGGTTCGTGTGTGCGTGTGTGTGTTGGCAGGGGACATGACTCCCAGACAAGACGTCAGACAGATAAATGTCAGCTTGTCTCCTACTGGGATGAATTGGTAGCTGAGTGGGCAGAAGAGAAGGGTTTAATCGTTTAAATTTCATTCTGACATCTGGGATTGGGTGAAGGGGGACATGGAGCATTAACACTAACATGAAAGACTTCAGTTCTGTGCTAAGAGAATATACTGGTGAAGAAGAAATTCTGAGAAACATCCTTTTATTTAATAGATCCATATTTTGTTATGGCTGGTTGCTACTGCTTTTTAGGGGGTTGCGCCCCACACCCATTCCCCTGATGATCCCTGCCATGATGCAAGCTAGACGGCTGCAGCCTGAAAGGGGCCAGACAGTGGGGTCACCTCAAGGTTACCTACCCCATTTCTCTCCAACGGGGTAAATCTCTGACCTCACAATGATTGAGTTCCATTACAGTTCTTGTTGGAATGATTCAGTGCATTGTGAAATTTCAAGTTTCGTCATGATTTGATAAGATTAAATATTACAGTTTAGAATTATTTTTAAAACAGGCCAAATACATGTGGCTTCTTTCTTCCATGTGACTGCAGCAACTATTTACAAAATGGTGGAATATAGACAGTAAAATTAATACACCATGCTTAATTGAGGTCAGGGTGTTGATGTAGAGAATAGCCTGAGAACTTTATCTTGGCAAAAAAGCACATACATTGCTTAAAATGATGATAATTCTACTCAATTCCAACATTCCAAAATCAATGCATTTGATTCACCTTCAGATTGATGCATTGCAATGCACTCATGCATTTTACGCCTCACGTTTCCCGCATTGCTCACCTTGATTGTGTCTGGTATGAACTGTAGGTGTAGCTCATGGTACTAAGCACCAGCCCTCTAGCTGGCTTTTCAGTATTCTTGTCTGCAAGAGCGTCTGTCTCTGTGATGCGGGTGGGGGGCTGGGTGGTAGGGGGAGTCACAGAGTCCGCCTCCCTAATCACACTGAGAGCAGCATTGGTGAGAGCAGCGGCAGAGGATGGCCACATAGCCTGAGTGTGCTAGAGCATGAGCAGTGGATGGGCTGACGGAAAGCATGTGGTAAAGCGATGTGCTTGGCAGCGGTGTGGGCTCAAGTCATCAGGGCGCCGATGCCACCTGAGCGTGAAACTGCACCGGAGCCCACCTTCAGGGAATGGACATATGTGAGTTGCTCTTTCAGTTTCACTATTACTACTGTTGTCAGCACTGGGCTAGACCAGTGGTTCCCAGTCCCAGTCCAGGAGTATCACGTCCTGCACGTTTTCTCACTCCAGTAACTTAGTACAACTAATCAGTTAATTACCAAGCCTGTCCTGATTTGAGGTTGATATGTAAAGCAAGAAAACTCCAGGACAAGACTGGGAACCGCTGAACTAGACAACTGCAGCAAGTTACTCTATAGCCATATAGAGTCAGTCGGTTTCTTGGTGAAAGCAGTGATAAATTTGGTGCTAAAAGGTGTTTATTGTGTCCATGGCCTGGGCACTTTTGGATAGGCCTACTTTCTCCTGCTGTTGCTGTAGTGATGAGCGTATTCAGTGACTGTCTCCAGCAGCCCCATAACCTCCAGCTCCCTGTCTCACAGCTTTACATCTCAAGCAGGGGGAAGTGCCTGGTGCACTATAAACAAAGGGCCTTGATGAATGAATAGACTGGAGTCGGGATTGTTACCCATTTCTTATTCCCACTGCTAATGTCTTCAACTAGAGCACTTTTGTTGCTTATGTCAGACTCAGACACAGTAATTCCAGTCTCTGTTCTAAATTTGCCATTTTAATGGAGCTGATTTGGTTCATTAGAATATCTTTCCTCTTGAGGCCCTTTTTATGTGTAGGACTTTCGTTTAGTGTTTTTCTCTCTCCAAAGTGAATTTGAACAAATTGTGATTTTTACATGATCTTAGGGAAAGCGGCTGCCTAATATTTTGCCCACAACTTCCTTGTAGTTTTACAAATATGCAGTGCTCTAATATCTTCTAGAAGGGTTTACTGAAGTTTCCTTACAGAAGTTTGTTTATTTAATCATTTTTATAATTTTCTACATTTAGTACAAGAGAGATTTTCCACAGAAAGTTTCAGCTGTATCAAGTTCTGCTTTTGCAAATATGAAATGAGTGTCGGCCATAATGGCTGATGCACTGAAGCAGCATTTGGTGCATGGATCAGTAAGGCATTGTAACCAAAGCAGCACAAAGCATTTTTCCATATGCAGGCAAATCTGGGAATTTGTCAGTAAATTTCTGGGTCACATTTCTGTGAGTGAGAGTCATTATTCTATAATAAGTCTGTACAGTTTCACAGCTTGAGACCTTACAGGAGCGCTGGAGTTCTGTTTCAGAGAATGCGAACAAAGCTGTATTTTTATCGGACAATCAGCATGTCCCCACAGATCAATAAGGCAGACCCAAAAAAATCACATTAAGTTCTATAGTTGATTGATTCAGCAATTCAGTGCCATAATTACACATTGGATTGACTAGCCTGGAAGCACACATTGGGATACAGTATCCTTCTTGGTAGCTAAATAAAAAAAAAAACAGTATTTAATCACCAAGATACTTTGATATTTTAAGGTAGCCTGTACGATCTTATAAAAAAAAATAAATAAATAAATAAAAATATATATATAAACTTTCTGAAAAGTATAACAGTTTACTTGAAAAAGCAGTAATGGCTTGGTTCTGTGTTGCAGTCTGCTGTGAAAACAGCCTGAGGATTCAGTGTGAATTATTGATGAAGATCAGAGACACAGTGCCTGTCAGTGTGCTCTGTCACTAACCTAGCCATTACTGCTGATCTCCACCCAGCTCAGCCAGAGGTCTAGAAGCAGAACACCAATCCGCTGGCCCTATTTCTAAGAACTACTGTGTTTATGATTAATGAACGCTCGGTTGTTAAAGATTGTATGAGGTGGGATGGTGTTGACAGGAAGCTCAGAATCAGGTTTTTCTCATCATATTCAGGTTGCTCTTGTCTCTTCCTTCCTTCTACTGTTCTTCCGTCTCCTCCGTCTGAACTCGCTCTTTGAAAATGTCACTGCTGAACTCTCTTCCAACCCTGTTCTAGCATTCTCAAATGGAGGAGTGTAGTTTCCACCCACTGAGACTGTGTGTGGAGGTTCAGCTAGCGGTCATGGGCGAATGTTTTAGAAAACTGGAGTGCTCCCCTCCTTTTCCCGTCCTCCCTTTCTCACATGTTCGTTCGTTTGTTCGTTCGTTCGTTCGTTCATTCGTTCTCTCTCTCTCTCTCTCTCTCTCTCTCTCTCTCTCTCTTTAACAAATCTTTCAGACTCTCTTCAATGCAAAGCATGCCCTCTGGCAAACTTTCACGCTTCTTGCACTTTTTAACTAAAAAAAAAAGAAAAATAAAAAACCATGGCCGTGTTTTTTCTCCAAAAGCTTCAGTCTTGATTGTTTTACTCTGCGGACTTGGCAAGCTGATGTGTAGGCCTACAAGTTGGTACAAGTAGCTTTGGCTGACATGAAAGCACCTTTCAGTTTTGGTTGAACACAACATGCCAAGGTATGCCTGCCAGCAATGAAGCCTTTCCCAAAATAGAATTCAATTATATGTGGATAAGGGAAAAGAATGGCGCCTAATTATAGTCTTCACATTCTTTCAGAAATAAGAATCCATTCTACCAAGGCTAGACCAGTAGTAAGAAAGTAGGCAACTTGATTTTCTCCACTTACTCCTCTAGACATGTCCAGCACAGCTGTGGAGAAATGACACAACTGAGCATCTCTGCCTTGAAGCGCAATGACTTTCAGCCACATTTCTCTTTCCAAAAGTTCTGCTGACTGTGGGGGAGTGAAACTTTCTGACAAGGACTGGAGGCAAACAGGCAGAATGTAGTGTACATGAATGTTTGAAGAACCAGGGGCAATTGACTGGATGACTGTGAACATGTTTATTCTTTAAGATTGAAGCACAGCTGGTAAAACCGTAATTGTCATTTCAATATATGCTCATTCACAGAACCTGGCGAAGAAGCCATAAGGGTGGCATCTTGGCACTGAAGCTTGGTACCCGTATGATCATTTCAGCAAAGCACTGACCTGAGCCATGTGTGACTAAACAGCCATGTGATAATGTGGGCAAGAACTATTGTGCCCTCTGACTGTGATATGGAAATCTCTAGACTAAACAAATGCTTATTTGTTTCAGTCAGCCTTGAATAGGAAAAAAGAGATCTACTTAGACAAAGGGACACTGATGGAAAGACTAATAAAGCATGCCATTTATCCAGTTAAGCCCATTTTTACTTTTTAATGGAGGAACTTGCTTTTTCTAGCCCTGTTCCACTCTACCTGACTCAACTCATGAAGGACTTGATAGTTGATAATTAAAGCAGGTGAAGCACAAAAAATGTGCAAAAAATGTTCCCTGGCCAAGGACTGAAAAGAACTGGCCTAACTAGCTTCAGCAATTGGACAAGCTCATATTTTCAAAGACCCGACACTGAGAGATGTGTGTTTACAAGGAATGTAATGTATGAATGTATGTTACAATATACTGAAAAAGCTCTAATGCACATTCTTATTATTATTTGACAGTGTAGTATATGCTATATTGTTATAGTATTGATTTCAGTGAACCTCTCATCAAAAAAATCAACAATTATTCAAATAAATATAGTACTGTGACAGTCTGAAACCACTATTTGTTTATTTTTTATGTTTTTATTTTTTAATTTAATTTTTTATTTAACTTAAAATGCCTGTTAATTGCAAGTTATTCTTTTTTTGTTTAGCATCAGGGGAAAAAACTTAAAACATGTATTTGATGTAAAATTACACACAAGCCTCAACAACTATATTTAATATTAGTGTGTTCACACTACAGCTCCTATTCTTTTCAGGAGACTTGCTTTCAGTTTTTTAAAGAAATCTGCAGGGATATTTTTCCACCCCTCCAAAGTTCAGTCTTAGAAGTTGGTTGCATTTTCTGTTTCTCCCAATCCAAGTAATCCCAAATTTATTCAGTAATGTTGAGGTCTGGGTTCTGAGGTGGTCAGTCCATTACAGTCCATTAAGGAAGCACCAGCGGCTTCCTTCTTTTTGTCTATTTCATATTTCCCTTCCTTCCACTGATGGTGACAGTTTCGGTGTTCTGCCAGTTCTTGTACGATTGTTAGGAGCACAATACTGTACACTTTCAAAAACAGGTTCTTAAATGGTTTGTGCCTTTGGCTTATGGTTCTAGGAGGAGCCTTTACACACATGTAGAACCTTTATATAATGTGAAGTTCATTTAAACTGTATGAAGGTTCTTCACACTGTGACATCTAATTTACAGAGTAGTTCCTCAACAAATGATCTGTTGAAAGGTTCTTGAGGGTTGTTCTTCAGTATCGCTCCACAGAAAGAAGAAAGATGTACATGGTCGTAATAGTTGAATCGGTGTCGTTAAAACCATTAACCATCCCAAATGCCAGTCTGTGCCCCTGATCATGTGTGGAAATGAACACAAACTTCACACATGCAAATTCCTCTTTGATCTAGTACAATTCAGGTGCATGCCAGGCTCAGCTTCTCCATCAGCAAGTGAATGTACAGTTACTGACACTTCACACGTAAGTACGCAGAACCCGTAAGACGCCTTTTATTCTCTGTAGTGCCTTTTCTCTCCTGATGGACAGACACTCAGTTGGGCATCTTTAATATGATGTCTGTGTTCCTTTAGCAGTGTTATTGATGGTGAGAGCTCCTCTGTAGCGTAGCCTCAGAGTGGAGGCTGCAGCTTGGCGTGCTGGGTGGGATGGCCTCTTCCCACTGGCAGTGTTTGCGCCACAGCTGAACTGCAGGGCTTGAATCGGCTGCCTGCTCTTCTGATGCCCAGTGGGATGCCAGTCTGTCAACGTGTTGTGCTCTCCCCCATCCCTCTGTGCTGCAAGCCTTTGATTTTTAGCACAAAGACCACCTGTGTGATCTAGCCATTTAAAACACCAGACGAGCCCCCCCGGCAATGAAAAATGCATGTTTATAGCTGGATGATAAAATGCCTGTCTTTAATATGGTGGCATGCAGATTCAGAAAAGCCTGTCAAAACACTTTGGTGTCTTGTCAAAGTGATGTGGCATCCATAGATGCCCTGACAAACCGAATAAGTGTCCACGTCAATTCCTTCAGAATCTGCTGTGTGGTGTAGCTTTCGGGAGTGAG